GGCATGAAAATCAGAGCTTTAGAGTTACTTGTAAAATCAGCCTGTCATATCATATCCTGTATTTCAGGAAATTGTATTTAGGAAATATGTACGTGAAAATGCTTTGCAATCTAGTACACTATAAATTATCGTCAATAAAAGCAGAAGTGCTTTTCTCTTTCTTTCTTTTCCCTCTTTTTTTTTTCTTAGTTATCTGACCGCTATGTTTAATGTAGTCATGGGGAAATTTGAAAACACTTTCCAGATAGGTACAGGTTTTGACACACTTATTTGTTTTGAAACAACAAGAAAAAAGTCATTGACTTAGATTTGTAAGGTCAGATTGCTGGGAACAACACAAATATTGCATCACTACCTATATTATTTTACAAAATGAGAAAAGTTGAAACAATAAGTTTTGGTTGTTTATAGATTAGATGGCCTCGTTGTTTAAGTTAATGGTAGCTCAACATGTCTATGTCCCTATGAATTATAAAATTATTTTGTATTATTGATTACAGCTTTATTCTTTTCATCAGTTTCAAATCTCCTTGGTAGAGTTTAAACAGCTATGTCAGTGTACTGAATTAGTTCACGGTGATATTTTTCTATATTACTCAGATCAAGATAGGTAATAAGTCTTACTGTGAAATTATTTGCACAGTAACTGGGACAAATGTTATCAAAAGGTAAACTATTAAAAGATGTATGTATTGGTGTAGACATGAACTTCTTTCCATAGATTTATATGTACAATCTGGACATATTTAAGACTAAATTAATCTGATATTAGCACCATAATAACAAATCCTTGGTGTACATAGAATAAAACAGTGCAATTAGTACTGAAGTGTAATCAGTATACTCTGTTATCAATAGAATGCTAAAAATACCCCTTATAAATTGCAACAAAAGCAAAAAAACAGTGATCTGATTTCCTCTTTTTGTTCAGATTAAAAAAAAAATGTATCCTGTAATAGAAAAAAGAAATTTAGAAGTGTTTTGCATTTAGCTTATTCCCAATGCCATTTTTACATAAACTTATAAAGCAGCAAATATTTAAGGAATTGCAGTACACAAAACAAAGAACATCTCTTTGAGCAAGTCTTGTGTGAAATCAAAGTTTGAAATTTTGGGGACAGTTTACTGCCTTGTGTAAATTCTCATGAGTTTTTCTCATGTCATTGAAGGCATCTAGCTCAGAGTATACTTACCACTGAATACCAGATTATGCAGCAAATTGTTTACTTTGTTCATTCTCATGTAGGTGATATGAAGGTGTTTAGTGAATAGATGCAGTTACATATAAGTGTGTTACTACGGAAAACTTCTTGAGTTGGTAAATGAACTTAATGAACTTGCTGCTTTTTTTTTTCTTTTTTTTTTTTTTCTCAATTTCAGTATGTATTTTACTTGTTTCTTATGAATGAGTTTTTACTACTAATACTAAGCGGGGAAATCAGGCTCTTTAGTAAGACATTGTGATAATGTTTTAGATAGGGAAAGTAGAGCATTTCAGAAATATGCTGCTTAAAACATATGTTACTATGTAAATATATAATTAATTTTCAAATGGATTTTCATTCAGTATTTTAGCGCGTGAAACAAGTAATATAACTAGAAAATGCAGCTTAATAAATACTGCTCAAATAAAAAAGAAATAACTTCAGCAGCACTTAGACTTCATTATTTAGAAACTGTTGTAGAAGAATTGTACAAGTAAAATTGGGAAAGCTAAAAAGTTTTCTGAACAGCTATCAGAATGTGTATTTGTAGGAAGCTTGAGGCTAGAAATGCATGTGTGTTTTCAATGAAGTATTGCACTGACTTAATTTTTAGTTCAAAGTAGTAAAATGATAAATTTCAGCCATTTAAAACTTAAGTTAATAACTCCACAACAAATATTTTTGTCATAGGTAATTTTTGATGTAGTGCTGCTTTGTTAGGTTGATGGCAATAATTCAACATATTAACATGATTAAAGCAAGTACCTTTTTCACAACTTCTGATTAACAAGTTTGCTCTATAAATATTTACAAAATTTGAGACTAACACCCTGATAGCATAGTATATGGCTTATGGAAAAAGTATTTTCATAGGCTCTTATAGAAGGGATTCAGAGATTTGCAAGGGAAGAAAACAGCTAGAATTAAGCATAGGTAAGCCCAATACTCTGACCTGAACTAGAAATAAGTGGGTCAGCCTAAGAGGTTGTGCTGGTACATTTAAGATAAAACAGCATCCTCCAGGGAGATGTAGTAGTTGTCCCAGTTCTTGGTAACAACCTGTTAACTTGTCCTGGATTAAATGTGACACTCCTCTCAGGAACTAATTGATTGATTCATAGTTTTAGCCTGTCGCTTCTGCCTATGCTTGTCAAGCCCTACTGCTGTACTATAGTGAGCACTGCATCAGGCTGCTCTCTTCAGCCACCTTATTTTCAGCTCATAATGGAGGTATCATGTGCCATCCAAAGGCCTTGTGTCTCACCCAAAGGCCCCAGGTGCTTGTTGTCCTTGTTACAGGCACTTTTACTGTGCCTGGTCTCCTTCTTCTCTGCCGCTTACTTACATTTAGTGGATTTGTAGACATCAGCCTTCCAAGCATTTGCCTATTACTTCATAAACTGTTAAATGCCTACGTAAGCTAGCCATGGCCCATTTCATATATGCAATATGTTCACACTGGTTGACACAGTTTCAGTTCTTGCTATATTTGTATTGAGAATTAATACTATATTAATATCATAGAATCATAGAATGTTTTGGGTTGGAAGGGACCCCTAGAGGTCATCTAGTCCAACCCCCCTGCAGTGAGCAGGGACACCACTAACTCGATCAGGTTGCTCAGAGCCCCGTCCAACCTGGCCTTGAATGTTTCCAGGGATGGGGCCTCCACTACCTCTCTGGGCAACTTGTTCCCATGTTTCACCACCCTCATTGTAAAGAATTTCTTCCTTATATCCAGTCTAAACCTACCCTGGTTTAGTTTAAAACCATTACCCCTTATCCTGTCACAGCTGGCCCTACTAAAAAGATTTTCCCCATCTTTCCTATAGGCCCCCTTTAGGTACTGAAAGGCCGCAATCAGGTCTCCCCACAGCCTTCTCTTCTCCAGGCTGAACAAGCCCAACTCTCTCAGCCTGTCCTCATAGGAGAGGTGCTCCAGCCCTCGGATCATTTTTGTGGCCCTCCTCTGGCCCCGCTCCAACACTTCCATGTCCTTCTTGTGCTGAGGGCTCCAGAGCTGGACGCAGTACTCTAGGTGAGGCCTCACCAGAGCAGAGTAGAGGGGCAGAATCACCTCCCTCGACCTGCTGGCCACGCAGGTTATATAAAGGTTATACAACAGTTATTGTTTTAACTAGAATATGAAAGAAATATCCGTCACTGTGTGGTTTAAAATCGCCCATGAGTTGTTTCATATTGTGTACAGATGCTGCGATACCGGTCAATCATAGAATCACAGAATGTTTTGGATGCAAGGTACCCCAGGCTCTCTGCCCTCCTTTCCTGTTCGTCATCATTAGAAATAGTAACTAAAAGACTTATATAGGACCTATGTCTCAAACATAGACCTTTTAAAGTATAATAGAAATACAAGTTTGGTCTTCAAGATGTAAAAGACAGGTATTTTTGCATAACAAGAAATGCAAAATCTTCTACTCCATGAACAAATTGCTCACTTTTAGTCTTCTGGATGTAGGTGTGAGAATGACTTGCTCTGCTTATTCAAAAAAGAGATTCAGATGCTTTACCAGTTGATTGTTTTCTAAAAATGGAAGTTTACATCCATTTTTGTGTGGTATTGCCTCAGTAGAAGAAATCTTTTGCTATTATCTATCAACATATTTTAATGTTATTTTTAAAGTCATTTTTACAGAAAAATAATACAGTGGTTTTCCAAAGAAAATCCAAGATGAGAAATAACGAGGTAACAGAACTATGGGAAAAGATTGGTTGGTTAGAGTGAACAACTAAGGGGATCATAGTGAAAAACTTGTCGACTGTGAATTCACTGTGTTATACAGTTTTTTTTGGAAGGGAAATGTTATTTTGAAATATGGCAATATGTGTTATGTTTTGCTGATACACTTATACAGCTGATGTATTTTAAGAAATCCTTAGTTCTAGACAGTTCTGAACTGGAATATTGGAATACTTTAGGCAACGCATGTTAAAAAAATGTTAAAAATGGAAAGAGAAGACTGGCAGATAACTGAACCAAGCGAAGATACTTTGTTTTGCTTTAAAGATGAAATGTTTTGTATGTTCACTGTGATGCAAGCAGGTCCTTATACAGCTGATGTATTTTAAGAAATCCTTAGTTCTAGACAGTTCTGAACTGGAATATTGGAATACTTTAGGCAACGCATGTTAAAAAAATGTTAAAAATGGAAAGAGAAGACTGGCAGATAACTGAACCAAGCGAAGATACTTTGTTTTGCTTTAAAGATGAAATGTTTTGTATGTTCACTGTGATGCAAGCAGGTCAAGAAAAAAATAAAAAAAAAAAAAAAAAAAAGTAGTTGAGGGGATTTTGGCAGACTTTCATTCAGGATGAAACTGAGCTCAGTTAAGCACTGCTCCAGGGCTTACAAGGTTCTGGAACACTCTCCCCATGTCATGGAATAATATAGGCTGGCAGTGGCCCCTACCTAGTTGAACGAGTTGCTTAAAGCAGATCTAACTTCAAAATTACATTAGGTTGAAAAGGGTCTTGCTCAGTTCAATTATGAGCATCTCTCAAGAGTAAAGTGATGACGAATGGGCAGCCTCTCTGGACAATGTGTTTTGACGCCTAATCACTGTCATTGTGAAAAACAAAAAAGGTGAAAAATACTAGGGGAGTTTAAAAACAGGTTGTATGGCAATCTTTCTGCAGCAGGCAGAATGTAGGTAATTTTATCTTAGAGCAGGAAGGAGGATGAATTAGACTAAGTCTCTTTTGGATCTGTATGTCTATGATTTTTTTGGTAACTAATTCTGTAAATAATACGTTTTTTCTACTTTTAATTGCAGCAGGAAAAGAATCAGGAAAGCTCAAGAAATAAAGGTAAGTGCTAATTATTTTCAAAATGTGGAGATCCCTGTAATTATTGCAAATCTGACATCTATTGTTAGGTAAAAAATTATCCAGACAGATTGTTTGCTGAGTATTTTGGTATTTGAAATGACAAAAACATATCCAGGAAAGGGGGATGAAATGCAGAAAGTAAATGCATAAGCTGCTGCGTTTGGAACTCTGCTGGAGATGGGCAAGGCTGACTGCTGCACTCTGGATGGGGTGGGCTGCATAACTTCTCACTAAGTTTGTGACCTCGACTGTGGATGCTTATTATACTTCAGTGAAACATCAGTTCTGTCACTTTAGCTTCTCCCTTTCCATTTAGTAAATCTGTAATTGAATGTGATTCCAATTTATGCACAAATTAATCATGTCCGTAGTAGGCTGCCTTGCAATACTACTGTCATCTGTGGTTTTTGCATACACTTTTTTTATAATTTCACTGCTCCTTCCTCTGTGCCAGTGGCTAAGCACTACATGAAGTAGAATATCCAGGTTAAAGAAATGCCTTGTATCAAGCAAATGAAGAGTTCAGAAACCCAAATTGTGGATTTCATGCTTCTTTCTGATATAAAGTCTGTTGAGAGGCAGAACACTTGGTTAAAAGTTTGATAAGCAAGCAATGAAAGGCAAAATTACCAACAGAGGCAAAGATTGTTGTTTTGATATTGTAATTGCTTACAGAGGTAGGCTATGAGGTACTTTAAAAAGGAAATCAAAGGGAAGGTAGAAGAAGAAAGAATGCCAGTTAAAGGTTACAAAGAGAGGAGGGAATTAAGTGAGAAACTAACCTATATCTTTTTATTACCTTAGGAAGCAATGCTTAATCATATCACCTGAGTCAGCTGTTCTTAATTCAGTTATTTATGTATCACAGTACTCATTAATCTCTATTTTCTTGCTTTCCCTCATGCTATACATGGACATTTAAAGTCAAACTAAGTCTGATGGTTGTCTGGAGTTGTGTCAGGACAATTATGTTTTTCATGATATGATAATTTATATCATCTGAAGGAACTAATATTGCTTCATTTGAAGAGTGTGCATGGTAAAATAAACAAAAAAACCCCCTCCACTTTCAACCAGTTTGTGATTATTTTTTTTTCCCCCTGAGGTAATACAATGTGAAGTTGAATCATCTGTAGATGTAGTGAGTGTATCCCTGATGTATTGTTCAAAAACCTTCCTTGTCTTATGACTTAATGCAAATTATATAAAAGGTTGTCAAAGCTCAGATTAGATTGCAGAAATAAGATATTTCTGAATACTGCATTTTAGGGACATTAAAAACGTTAAGCCTCTCTCTGCAAAGGAGGATACTGAAATTGGCCATTCTTGTGGATTTTTATGATTTATTTCAGTTATATTATGCTGTTTGATGCTCCTCCCCCCCCACTCCCCTCTCCTTCCCCTGGCCAGTTGCCAGGTGCATGGTCGTTATGGTATATACCTCAGGAACAAGTAAAAGTAGGAACAAAATAGTAAGTTAGTTGGGAGTGCCCATCATTTTCATTAGCTGTTAGTTTAGTTAACTAACCACAGAAACAATTTTCAAAGGCTTATAAAATGTTGTCTGCAACCACAGCCAAAGCAAAGCATTAAACTGTACTTGAAAGGAGATATCCATTACCTCCAAACAGGCAGTGAAATTGGTGCTCAGCTGCACAAAATTTGTTGTGATTATATCCGTAACATCTCTTGAGGAAATTTTTAATCTACTAAACTTCCTGCATGCTGTGCGTGTCTCTGCCTAAACTGACAATTCGACCTGGGAGATTTCAGTGGTCGGAAAGAATACTCACGCTTTGGAAAAATTATTCCACTTTCCTATATATATAGATATGCTTAATCACTTAATTTTTGGGAGGGGTTGTTTTATAGTTGGCTTTTTTTGGCCTTCTTTCAAAGTCCTTAAATTTCTTATTTGTTTTCATGTGTTCTTTTTCCATGTCATTGCAAACTTTCAGAAAGTTATTTTTGTTTCACTTGTAGCTTACGGCATATAGGATGTTAAAAGATTTTCTGCTTAAAATACTGGTTGGTTTGGGTGAAACACGGCTGAACTGATGTTTCGGCATAAACCTTCCTGCATTGTCAATGAGCATCTCCCCTTCACGTGCAGTACCTAAATGCATCATGCTCTGTGCACGTTCTTGTGAGATTGGTAAATTATCCCCAGGTTCTCAGGACAGGCTTCTAGCAGTGTTCCTTATGCTCTCTGCATATGGAAGCTGCTGCATACAGTAAAAGGACAAAAGCATTTTCTGTGGTTCCTTAAATGTTCTGAAACTTTCAGAACCAATGTTGTCTTCTTAATTCAAAGGACTGTTAGAGCCCATGTTAAGCATCCATACCAAATGAAACTCTGGAGTCTCTGGTGCGCCTCATAACTTCCACTGATATCAGTATTTCAGTATCTACTTTTATCCAGTGTTTCTTTAAGATTGCATTTTTATAAGAGGAGGGATCAAAGCATTAGTAACAAGCACCATTCCATATAAATGCCTAGTGATTTTGCATTGCTGTAAAATAAATGTGATTCTTATTCATATTTTAGTAATGATGTTATTGTTTTGTAGGCTTTGTTTTTTCTCCTGAAATTTTTCTGACCCACTTGTTTTTCCCATCTGTTACTTCTGCTGTCAGCCGCTAAGTCACACCAAATAGAAGCCAATACTCAAACATGCCCTGTTCTGACACTAATCCCATCTCTCTCTGATCTGTGATATTCTTTTTCTTGTTCCATTTAATGGATAACAGAACTTTGTGTACACTGCTTGAGGAAAAAGAAACACTGCTTTGATGTAAAATAGTATGTTAACATCTTACAGTTTTGGTGTATGCTGGCAAACTTCCTTATACTTCTGAGAATTTTTCCTGCATGGAAATGATTGTCACAGCACAGAACACAAATGAAATTAGTTTCATAGCACATCTCTCCAACATGAAGGAAATAACAAGGCAAACAATCACCAGTTAAAACCTTGCTAAATTTTACTCGCTGGTTTGGAGTCACAATTTGACTTTCTTTAATTCTCGTTTCTGGCGTTAACTCCTTCAGACAAATGAACATTTTATTCCAAACCTGTACTGTGTAATAAAATAGATATTTTTGCAAGGAATTGGAAATATGTTTGGCAATATCAGAATTGGTGTTGTATTTAAGCAGTTTGCAGAATTTTCTCCCCAGTTTATGCTTAACTTTGGAGATTTTCAGGTGCTTTTAATAAAGTACATTATAAACTTAAAAGAGAAAATTGTTTCTGACAACACTATGCTGGAAAACTTTCATTTCTGAAGAACCAGAATGTTAACTAGTGACACATATCAACTTTTTGCCAAACTTCAAAATTATCTCAATTCCTTTGCTCAGAAAAGCATAGGCACACTGGAAATAATTAGACATGGAATATTTCAGTTAATGGGTAAAGTTTCAGATGATCAGTTCCCAAAGCCAGGCACAGTTATTTTGAATTACAGTATAAGAATTTTATTTTTTAAGAACTAAAAATTAATTTCAATATAGAAAAACAGTGTGTAATATATGTTTCTAAACAACAACAACAAAACAAGGAAAAATCTAGCAGAACAAAAAAGCTAAGAACAAGTTTTGAACTTAGGTGAGAATAAGGTGGTTGTTTTGCTGATACTGAGCAATGAGATGATGCTGTACACAACTTGTGTAACTTTGGCTATTTGTTTCAGCAGCTTAAAGAACAGTTACTGAAAGACAGAAAAAATTGCACCAGCTAAGATTTGGAAAACATACACTTTTCATAGCATTTGCAAAATGTGCATGTAAATAATTTGAACGATATTAACTTGAACCATTTTACTTTAGTTAAGTGCACTTTGGAGACTGACTGTATAGTATACTGTTAAAGTTTTTGCTAGCTACTCTTGATCTGAGCTTTGAACATCATTAACACCCAAAACAAAACAAGAGAATATATACTGACAGTATTTTAATCACAACCTGAGTTTCTAATTGTATTCAATCCTCCTCATTTCATGCTTACCTTAATAATCTGAATGTCAAATCATTGTTGACTCACAGATCAGTTTCAAAAATATAATTCTCCGTTATTATGAACATATTGCCAGTGTCTCCTGATATCATTAACAAACATCTGTCCCTTTTATGATCTTTAGCTACCAAAAATAAAGAGGATACCATATGGGCATCACTTGCATATCTTACTTGCTTTTTACTCCTTAAAAGTTAGCATACCTGCACAACACTTGTGATCTTGTCTGGGATTCCAGATTGGTGGTGTAGGCTTTTTCTATATGATGATAAATGTAAGACAAGGAGGAGTGAGAAAAGCTTAAGATTGTTCAGAATTGAAAGAATTTAAGGACAAAACCAGTAGGGCTTTAATTAAATAAATAACCTGTTAAAGTGACATCTTACCTTGAGATACTCTCAAGTGTCAGCGGGTGAGCAAACTGTTACGCCCGTCTTGCGCCATGGCTGGCTGCTATCCCTTTTGGTAAGGGACAAAGCTGTCTATGTCCTGATGCAGAGTACATGGCATCAGATCTTATGTCATGTGAAACCAATTAACTGTGGCAAAAAATACACATCACTACTTTCTTTAATGTATTCAGTGACTCACTATGTCTGTCTAAATTTGTATTTCAGCAGCCTTGTGCTATGTGAGTGTGGGTAGAATCTGAGCTCCTGGACTGAAGTGATTAATGTTTTAGTTTGTTACACTGTGGTAATCCTTCTCTGGTAGAGAAGTACACGCCAGAAAAAAAAATGTGGCATTTTAGAGAATATATGTAACAGCAGGCAGGTTAGTAAATGTTCGTCTGCGAGTGTTATTTTCCCTGGAATGCAGGTGCCAAATAATCTGACCTACCGTGTTCTTTGTTCTGATGTTCTGTTCTTTGTCGTTGTTCACCATGGTAAGTTGGAACATAAACTTTTAAGAGGTGGTATGAGGATTGTTTGAATCGAGTGTGCCAAATACTATCCCCTT